TTCATTTATGAATCTCTCTTTGGCAGACTTTGTTTTACTGTTTAATTTAGTCTTGTTCACATTTCTTTTTGTATTTGTCCCACACTCCCTTTCCCCTTTTATTGTAAGCCGCCCTGAGTCCCCTCAGGGAAAAGGGCGGCCTATAAATGTACAATAAATACCTAAAAAAAAAAAAAACCTTCTGACAAGCAAAGTCAATGGGGAAGTCAGATTCACTTTACAACAGTGTCACTAATTTAACGGCGGCTATTCACCTAGTAATTATCCCAAGAAAGATCGCAAAATTGGACAAAACTCGCTTCACTGTCTCGTTTAACAACAGAAAGTTTGGGTTCAGTTGTGGTCATAAGTTGAGAACTACCTGTACTTCACTGGAGTACATGGATTGCTTTTTATGTAAGGCATTCAGCTTTTCCAAACAACATGGAGAAGAAACACTGGAGCATTCAATGTCCAGACTCTGAGCATGCAAAAGTTATTCCTTGTTGGTTTGTCCAAGTACACGGAGTAAGGAAAAACAAGAAAGTCCAGTTGCCACCTAAAAAATCACCTTTGGGACAACCAGGACCTGGATGATTGAGAATCTCTACAGACAGAGTAAGCAGGAAATGTGAATTTTGGGCTTGGTTCTAACCAGGGGTGAAATCAATTACCTTCGCTACTGGTTTACAAATATGAGTGTGTGCATGTGCAGAGTGTCAAAAACGGAATGTGATGACGTCTGGGCGGGTGGGCGGAGCCTCCTGCCGCCACCACTATTGGTTCACCCAAACCGGATAGAACTGGCTGAATTACACCACTGGTTCTAACATAGAGCAAATATAGTTTAAAGCAGCTAGAGAATAGCCCTGCCCCAATCCTAATTTAATACTATAACCACTGTATTGCAATGGTTCTCTTGTCAGATACCCCTGGAATAATTGCTTTGAGCCCCCTTGTTGTGAAGGAAAGCTGCATTCTCAGTACACCAAACTGCATGCTGCATGCATGCCCCGAAGTCTGAAGCCACGTTGTGCACATGTTGATTCATCTCTGTCACGTAATTCACATCTTTTACAAGTGCCAGTTGCACACACTGGGCTATGTGCAAATTCAGATTACCCAAATTCTTCCCTTTTTGCTAGCTTCCGCTTTGTTTCACAACAAGACAGAGAGCTGGACCACAGTAGGCAATTCTGGGATTTTCACATCTTCCTACAGTCTCACAATTAACCATGGGGAGTGGGGGATTTAAGTAAAGGAGAAGCAGAAGAAAAACATTTTTCAAGGATCTGGTTTATCTTATTAGAAATAGGTAAGTGTCTAGGAACCAATCTGCAATTAAGCATTTAATTAGTTTTCTATGTATATGTTAATTAAATATTTCATTTATTTTCATTTTACTTGCTTCATTCCAACCGGATCCCTTTCCTCTTTTCCTTTTTTTAAAAGATAAAAATAAAACATTAATTACCAGAAAAGTAGGTACAGATACTCTTTTGTTACTTTTATTTTCTGGAACCAAATGATGCTTCTTCCAAGAAACGCCTCCTTGTCCCTTCCTGGATTCAGTCTGAAATTTTAATATCTGATCTGGCAGGCATTTGTTTGCTTTGGTTTTGTATGGTCTAATGAGAATGAGAATCCATTTAATTGATGGACTTGGCTGTGGGAATTATGGGAAATTGAGGACATCGGCAAGACACCAGCCTGGAGAAGGCCAAGTTAAAAAGAAAATAGGAACCAAATTGCAAACCGTGTGCAATTACAAAGACCAGGCGTTTACGCTAAGCATGGAGAAATATGTCCTTTTTAAAGAACTGCTTGAGTAATCTAAAAAGTTACCAGTTGGGCAAGATTTTAGCAGAAAAGGTATGTCTGGGGATTGCTTTTTTTAAAATTTTGTCTGTTTTAAGCTGCTCCGGAAAGGCAGGATCAGTCATGTGAGTTTGCGGTTTGATTTCTCTCTGCTCCGGGATCAACAATCCAGGGAGAAGCGGAAGGGTCGGGAAGGCTTCGACTTGGGGCGGAAGAAAAAGACTAGCAAGAGCGTCCCCAGAAACCGGGCCGCAAACTCTAAGCGTTGAAGTCCGGAGCCGCGCTATGCAAATCCGAGGTGGGCGTGAGAGGTCCTTTTGCTCCACCCTTGTGGGTCGGGGAGCCGATGGATGACCGGGAGGGCGAAGAAAGATAACACCCAGGAGCGTTATGAAGACTATCGGCTTGAGCCAGCATAAGGAGCCTTCTTCTGCTCGATCGAACGGCCCGGACAAGTAGGCGAGCTCATCGGCTGTCATTGGCTCCGTTCTCCAGGACGGTCTCAGGCTTAACATTTATAACGATCGTAAAACAAAACAAAAAAAAATATCTTGCGGGAATTAGAGATTGTTGTTGGAAGGTACCCATACCAATTCCCGTGCCTTCTTCAACGGGTGTAGAATACAGTCTCAGGAGGATCTGTAAGCAAGGAGGATCTGTAAGTAATGCTTCTGAGCGTACCTAAAATATTAAAAATGTTTCCGATCTCTCTCTCTCTCTCTCTCTCTCTCTCTCTCTCTCTCTCTCTCTCTCTCTCTCTCTCTCTCTCTCTCTCTCTCTCTCTCCCTCCCTCTCTCCCTCCGTCTCTCTCTCTCTCTTGCCCCACTCACACTCCCTCTCCCTCTCCTCTTTCCTCCATCCCTAGAAAGATGAATCATAAAATCTTGGGTTTGGCTTTCAGAGCACAAGTATTCACACAAAGTGTTTTTCCATCCTATTCTGTCACATTTAACCAATTAGCCCATTTTGGGGTTCACTGTCACACCCAGAACCATTAACTGGCTGTATAAAGTGGAACGTTTGGCTACTCATGGCTTTGTTCATTCTGGTCTGGGACGCCAGGCTATGTCAACCCCTGGGATCCAGGAAACTTCAGAAACAAGGTTCCATTTCTTAAAAACAATCAATAATCATTGAATTATTTTGCAACTGTGGATTCCTAAAAGGAAGTTATTGCAACACAACAGTTTAAAGAACTCTGCCCTGCCAGTTGAACGTCATTTGGCCTGGGTTAGGTACACATTTCTGAATTTTGCAATCTTTTGTCCTTTTGTATCAACTCTACAAAACCAGATTTCCAGGTTTTATTAATGAAATGGGTAAAATTCTGAAATTATAATACATCCTGGTCTTACTATAGTTACCTGACGTCCTTTTTAAATCTAAATATTTACCATAGTTTTGGAAACATCAAAGATAATATCAACTGTTCATTGGTTTAGCACGTCTAGGACATTTATTTATTTACCAAATTTGTATGCTCCACCCACCCCCAATTTCACAAGAAGTGATTTAGGGCAGTGTACAACGATAAAATAAAAACCAAATTTATAAAAATAATCATTATCAAAAGAAGGTTTGACATATATCTCGATGGAACGTCCTTGTAAATCATTTTTGTAGTTAGGGCAACATTAGATAAGATAAGCAATAACAAACCTCTTGTATAGCCTCGCTATGAACAGTAGGTGAAGTCACCAGGAATTGCCTGAGCATTGGAGGTTTTTCTTTTTTATAAGAAGAACAGGTTTGGTTAAATACCATAGAGTATAAAATACATGTGGTTTGGGTTTTGGATACATCACTTGCTCTCATGGATTACTGTGGTTAACTGTTGCAACAGTTCGTTTACTGAGCATTTGAAGTTACAAGGGCAAAAGTTAAAGTGGCTTATGACCATTTTTCGCACTTATGACCATTGCAGCATCACCATGGTTATGTGAACAAAATTCAGATGCTTGGCAACTGATTCATTTATGACTGTTGCAATGGTGATCTCCTTTTGTGACCTGACAAGCAAAGTCAATGGGGAAGTCAGATTTACTTTACAACGGTGTCACTAATTTAACGGCGGCTATTCACCTAGTAATTAACGCAAGAAAGATCGCAAAATTGGACAAAACTCGCTTAACTTTCTCATTTAACAACAGAAAGTTTGGGTTCAGTTGTGGTCGTAAGTTGAGGACTACCTGTACAAGCAAATAACTTTGCTTTACTTCACTGGAGTACATGGGTTGCTTTTTATGTAAGGCATTCAGCTTTTCCAAACAACATGGAGAAGAAACACTGGAGCATTCAATGTCCAGACTCTGAGCATGCAAAGCTATTCCTTGTTGGTTTGTCCAAGTACACCGAGTAAGGAAAAACAAAAAAGTCAAATTGCCACCTAAAAAATCACCTTTGGGACAACCAGGACCTGGATGACTGAGAATCTCTACAGAGATTCTATGACTGAGATCTCTATAGAGTAAGCAGGAAATGTGAATTTTGGGCTTGGTTCTAACCAGTAGCAATTACCTTTGCTACTGGTTTACAAATGTGAGCATGTGCATGTTCAGAGCCTCAAAAACAGAATGTGATGATGTCCAGGCAGGTGGGCGGAGCCCTCTTTATTAATTTATTAATTAAATGGGTAAAATTCTGACATTATAATACATCCTGGTCTTACTAAGGTTACATGACGTCCTTTTTAAATCTAAATATTTAGCATAATTTTGGAAACATCAAAGATAATATCAACTGTTCATTGGTTTAGCACATTTAGGATATTTATTTATTTACCAAATTTGTATGCTCCCCCCCCACTCCAATCTCACAAGAAGTGACTTCGGGCAGTGTTCAACAATCAAATAAAAACCAAATATATAAAAACAATCATTATCAAAAAAAGGTTTGACATAGATAATTATTTCAATGGAAAGTCCTTGTAAATCATTTTTGTAGTTAGGGCAACATTAGATAAGATAAGATAAGATAAGGCAATAACAAACGTGTCAGCCTCACTATGAACAGTAGGTGAAATCACCAGGAATTGCCTGAGCATTGGAGGTTTTTCTTTTTTATAAGATGAACAGGTTTGGTTACATACCATAGAGTATAAAATACAAGTGGTTTGGGTTTTGGGTAAATCATTTGCTCTTATGGATTACTGTGGTTAATAGGAACAGCATGGGTGAAAATGATTCATAAATTAGAAAAAAGTTCTTTCTTTCATTCCCCTTCTCTCTTGAGTCAGTGCCAGCCCTTCAGGATATACCAGACTAAGAAAACAATACCATGTAAGTTAGTAGTACCTTTATTGTAAAGTTACAGTAACAGAATCTTAAAAGTTGGAAAGTGCTTCCCCCTTTCTCCTTTTATTTTCATGTGAACTAGGAAAAGCTTGGCCCTTGTATAGTGGCTCTGCCTTGCTGGTGGCTCTTTCTCCTGTCCTTAAAGCCACTCCCTCAGCCCTCTTCTGTCAGAGATGAACAGTATAATGGCCCACAGTGTTGAGTCTCCAGGCTGAACTCAGCAGAAGATTCCCAAACACGGACATAGCTTAGCTAGAGAAAACTAGAGGCAACAGTTGAAGAAGGTCAGTGCCTTCATAGGCAAAGGCACTTTATTTTTCAACAACTTTCCAATAGCTTAATGGACACCTTGCTTTGGGCATTTCAGTCTTGGGACTAGGTGGAAGCCTGTTCTCAGTGTCTCTATTTTTTAATTTTTATATATTTTATTTATATCAAATTTACAGACTGCCCATCTCATTGACAAAGCAACTTAATGTAACTCCCACACCAGGCCAAAGAGGACACACACATACCCTCCATTGAATGTACAAAATTCAGCAACAACTTAGCAGCAAAACAACCCAATGTTTGCAATGTGGTTTTTTTAGGTCAAGATCCTAAAATTAAAAGTGATAATGTGGGTATGAGCCCCCTTGAAGGAGATTAGCCCCCATTACTGCTGTTAATCTTCGCATTCTCCTCCTCCCAGCCTAGCCTGTCAACAAAAGTCCTGTCTTTTTAAACCCTCTCCCTTCCGGCAGTGTCACTAGATTGTCTTCTGCATCTGCAGGTTGGTTGATCAGGTATATCTTATTTCCCTGGCCAAAAAAAATGCCAAAAATGCCTGTTTTAAGTCCTCAAATTGAATAATAATACAGGCTTTACTCGGTAAAGATAATGTATATTTGCAGATTGCACCTAGAAGCGAAATTGAATGGAATACATTCTGAATTATTAACTATAATACAATGTGAAGCCATATCAACAGCTAGTCTCCGGAGAACAATGCCTTCAGAAGTAAAAAGGAGATATGGTTACTTTTATTGATGGGGAAAAAGGCAGATGCTTTGGGGTGTATTATTAATGCATAGAGTAGAAATGAAGCTGTTTCTCAGGTGCTTCCCCCACCATCATCACCAGAGAAAAAGAAATCTAAAGAGACTTTTCACCGATATCTTTGTGTTTGTGTAGATTTTCTATTGAACAGGATTTTAAACCATTCGCTACTAATAGTCCCCCCCCCCCGTCCAATTATTAATTGTCTTCTAAACTGCTTTTCTTTTTTATGGGGCGGGGGGGGGGGAGAAGGGTTATATGAAGATATAATCTTTTCTGTCTGCCACAGGGAATAGATAAGCTTTGATTATCTCCTTGTGAATCTCCTGAGCATAATTAGCAAAATGTATGCAAAGCTTCAAGAAGGGTAATTACAAGACTGGTACAAATCTGAGTTAACTTGGAGAGACAAGCAGGCTTTAGGGCAAGTTGTTTCTTCTTGCATCAAACTACGATCTTGTGGCACTCAGTTGAGAAATACCCTATTAGACGCTGTTCTGCACTGCGTGCTGCATTTAACTTTAGGCTCACCTTTGACGCAATCTCAAGAGACAATCTAGGGTGCAAATTGAAAAACTCTTCTACTGATGCATGACTCTTGGCTTTACTTTTGAGACCCCCCCCCCCCCGGAAACTCCCTACTAAAGGTTAGATGCGGTTCCTTGTGCCTCACAAAATACCTTCTTGTAGGGACATGGCGTCAGACAGGACTGTAGTGACTGTAACTTGATACCGTACTTTTTAACATTATATAAACTCAAACTGACCCCTGTTGAGCAAGTTTTTCACCACTATCCTGCATCTAGTTAATAGACTTATTTCTATCTTACTGTGTACAGATGATGCTGTTGTTAACCCTGGATGAAATGAAGCTGTTTTCTCTTGCTCTGTATTGCAGAGAGGCAGCCTTACAGATCAGTTCTTCCAAGACAACATCCTTCCATTTTCTAGATGCCTCAAAGCTTTGACATGGCAGCTAGATGATCAAGTCAGAGAACAAGTTTAAAAATTGTAGGAATTTAATTGTAACTTCTCTGATAATATTGTACTGCTAACTAGAACATACAAAACATTTGCTAGACCAATTCTCGAATGCAGCTGATCTGTCTGGATCCCACACTGCATATCGGACATTAATACAATTGAGCGAGTCCAGAAATAGTTCACGAGAAGAGTTTTCTGCTCCTCTGCAGAATATCAGAACATCTCATGCCACCAGACTTGAAATTTTGGGCTTAGACAATTTAGAACCTTTGGTCTGACCTAAGCTTAGTACACAGAATTATTTGCTTAGTACACAGAATTATTTGCTACAATGTCTTATCTG